GATGGCCCCGGCGCTGAGAATGTGGCTGTACCTAGTGTGTGTTACTCTGTGCAGAACAAGCATCAAGCGGTCACCCATTCCCGGAATGGATTTTGAGAAGCGGCAAACGACAGCTACGAGACAGGCATGGTAGTTGCTTAGTTGGAGACGGCAACAGAGAGAGTCAGTAACGTGTTTCCAGATCATCTATGGCACAATGCAGGTCGCTGCGGTAGTACAGTAGGACCCCACCTCCCCTGGCGAGGCGGTCGTTCCGGATGAATGATATTCCGGCTACCTCCACCTCAAACACATTCACCTCTTGGTGTAACCAAGTTTCGGTAATAGAAACTAGGTCACCACTGTTCGCAGCCTGACGTAGCCAACATTCGATAAGTTTACTGAAGCGCCCTTAAACGTTAGTGCACCTGCATGAAAGTTCCTAAGTTTTAAGCAGCGTTTCGGTTGTGCAATGTATGCGTGAAGTTTCACCGACCAGTGAGTCACCGGCGCATAATCATTCTTTCGATGTGTACTTGGTGAAGGATTTAACGTCTTATTCATCGTCTCCGTAGTTGATCCCGTGTCTAAGCTTCTACGTACAGTGTAAGGTGTCTGGTCGTTATCACCTTCTAAAGGTTGTATGGGCTTATTCGACACACTAGTGGTGCACTGTCCGTTTATAGGTGCCAGCGCCTTAGGTTCTTTGAGCGACATATCATCTCTAGAAAGTATATCACTGACTGTCTTTAGCCGAAGCTCGGATGGTAGCTTGCAACGAAACATTTGCCAGCACTTTAGCAGCCGTGCAACCATATGTTTTGACTGAAGGAGCACATTCAACACTCTCCGGCCACTTCCTTTGGAGTTCGGTGTGGTAGGCAGTCGTAACATGGCTTTCGCTAACACGTCATTCAAGCACAATGTTCCACGCATGTAACACCACTGTCTGTCGTCATGGGTTATAATATCATGCTCATCACATGCTTCAGGTTCGGGAACCCCGCGAAGTAGTACGGTGCTGATCAATGTTTCCTGCCGGTAGTCCTTTAAGGTGCGGGTATCCCGATAACTCTCGCCCCATGGGATGGCTGGTAAGGTACCGTATGAGCAGTGTTCATTTCTGAGACTACCTGTCGAAGGTAGTACTAATACTACTTTAGTGATGGAGTTCAGCACCGCGCATAACTCTTGGCTCTCTTACAGGCTTAGAGCTGGGGTGTCGCGCAATACGCACCACATGTATAGGTTTCAGCACAAATCCCATTAGGTTATTAATAATATCCCACTGGTTAACGTCCTCCAACTGCCTGCCGCCCATTGATGTTGACGTTGAGTCGGGGAAACTAGCGCACAAAACGCTTAATACACGTAGTTATTGCATTACACCTTTCGATGTGTCACGATTAGTGATTGACATACGCGGAGATGTACCGCAGGAAGCCATCGGTACTTGCACTGGGAAAACACCGTTAGGCTCCTCATTATCCGATCCAGTTGTGTGTTAATATTAAATGACGACCCTTCTTGGAAACAACCGTAACCCAACCTTCGCTTTCACCGGCTTGCTCTTTTTCTACGCACGCCGTCGAGCGTTTGGAAGTAGCCTTACGTGTAGTTACTTCGATCAAACTTTGAAGCGCATCAGTCAATGTTAGCCACATGTGGTATTGGAAGATCAGTTGGTGTTCTAGACTCTAAGCCTTGTGTTGCTTACGGTGTTCCTAGCAATCCTTCAGGGATAGGGGCAGGACTTACGGTGAGGATCAAGTTGCACAGTCCGCTGTGCTTACCCCAACCATAGTTAGGTTGGTGGTCACCATTTCCTAAAACTTGGCTAGTAGCTGCTCGTACTGCTGCGATACTACGAGCAGGCTTACTATCGGTGGGAGAGATGTGGATTCCAAGAAGAACCATAGAGAGTCTGGTTTGTTGAATAACGACCTGACTAATTTTAACTCGGAGGTATCCCGCAAGGAAAAGTTTGCAGCCGTTAAGGCACAAAAGGCCCCCTTAACAAGTTTGGTACATGATCCACATAGGCCTTTCGACTGACACACTGGGCGGCGCGCTTGCTGAAGAAACGTTACGAACCATTTGAATGCCGCACCCTCTATGGTAAAGGCTTGTTAGTTTATTGACCTTGTCGGCGTGGTCACAGTGTTTAGGTTGTAGTTGCGTGCTCGCAGACTGTCTTCTGTAGCGTGCCAGTTGAATATGTCAGCTTGAAGGTGGGGAAAGTTACACGAACGTGGGATTGAGAATGTTCCTGAGTAAGCCTATGGATCACGCCGGGTAAATTTGCCTTGAGACTCGTGGCTGCTTCAAGCAACGTTGGTTTTGAAAGAGCGACAGTTCGTTGAAATGGTCTATGGAATGCGACCAAACAATGTCTTCGATGGTTGGGGTTAGGCGACTTCTGGCGCTTGGATATCGGCGAAACATTGCCCGGAATTCAGATTTCAAGGTAAGGGTAGAAAAGACTGGAGTGCACACGCGAAACTAGTATATCAAGGTTGAGCATTTAAATGCACGAGGAATGAGTATTGAGCGATAGGTGTGCGAAAAATGCCGTTGAGCCACCGTGATAAACACAAGAGTGCACAAGTAAGCGCTTTGCACGCACGTTCGCTCAAGGTAACGGGAAGCAGAATTCAATTCTTCACGAAATTCACTATAACTTCTAGGGAGTATTTCGATACCCTCAGTGGCCCTATTTAATCGTAAACACATGGAAAGCAGTAAGAGCAGCGGCATATGAAGGAACAAAATAGGGTAAACATATTTCCTAGAAAGAAAATACTAACAAAACACGATTAACAGAGATGCAAGGACGGGGTACTTAACTAAAAATACCAATCGGCGTAAAATATAACCAAATGCTTTTGCGCTAAATTTGATTGCAGTTGTACAAACTAAAAAAAGGTAGAACAAAAGAAATAACTTATCGTGGGTTAGGAAATTGCGAAAAATAAACCTAAATTTAGGTTAATCCGAACAAGTTTTAACCGTTGCATAAGTTAAAGAAAAATGAATGTGTGCCATGCAGTCGTTCGTGAGTGCTTTACACATAGATGGCGGTCCAAGAATAACGCTATCATTTCGTTTCGCCGAAACTGGCTTCAAACTTCGCAAACCGCTAGCAAAATGGAGAAAAGAGAAGGTTAAGTGGGGAAGCTGTATAAGTTCTAAATAAGAATAAGCATACAGAATTGCTCTAGGTTTCTCAAAATACCCTGCAATAGCAGATACGACGTAACTGGCGGAAAAGTAACCCTTTCGGGCCTGCAATGCGAATGTAGGCAAATGAGCGATAATGTTTGGAAAAACCCTAGGAACCTAGTAATAAATTTCTATATGCAATAGACCACAGGACAACTTATAATTAGCCCACGGTCATTCGGCCTCAGTGTACCATTTTTGAAGGATTCTGAGCCACATAACCCACTATGGACATAGAGTGAAGTACTTTTAAGCCTCTAAGGATTTGCATAATTTCTATCAGAAGTTCATGAAGCAGATTTATTTGGATAATACCGGAGACGTTCCGGATCAATTCACACGTTTGTTAATGAACCAACATTTTGCTGGGATAAATTGTACAAGTTGGCTCCCTTTAGGTCCATTTTATATCTCAATGAGCCTGCCACCAATAGCAATAACCTAGAGGAACCTGTCGCTAATAATAAAGAAATGAGTATCCGGAAAATTAGTGAAATGCCTTGTTGTGTGCAATGCATTTGGGTCTGCCTTGGTGAGCATTAACAACTTTGCTTCTAGGGGTTGAAGTAGCAGAATATCAGAGGTCGTTGGATTCCATGTTTTGGCGTACACTAAAATGCGTCGCTTTGCTTCTTTGTAAAGTTTCTAGCCGCTATGTTGATGTTCGAAGCGAATGCCAGCTTGGTTCAGCAATGTGGCAAAGTTAACTAAGGCTGTGCTGTCGCACCAGCTAGTACCATGGTGGTTTTGCTGCTAAGAGCTGTTATTTCATCCTAAGTAACGAATGCTAATACACATCGGGAGTAGGAAAGCACGCAGAAATGGGGGAGCAGTTCCTTCACCCACCACTACGCATATTGTATGGCAGCTGAAAGTTGAAAATACGTGAGGACGGACAAGGTAAGGCGGTGGTGGTTCGATATTTCTGCACGTTCATCCGGCCAGGGTGACAGGGGCTCTCTGTTGCCAGTTAGCTTTCATGCAGGTGAACTGGAATCTGGAAATGCGAATGTTTTACTAGCAAAAGTGGTTGAAGAAGAGGATTTGGTTTTCATGATGCCTGTCTACTGGTGTTGCCAGTAGTGATAGGCGCATGTTAAACTTAGATAAATCTGTATGTGGGGCCAAGAGAGGATAAGTGGAGCGAACATGCCTGATGCTGGAGCCTATGGCTCTTGCTGTGAGCAGCTTATCGGGAAGGCTGATATTTATTTATTATGTGGTAGATATGCCGATTACAATTGGCAAAAACCGAGTGAAGCAGCGAGTGCTTGCGCTTAAGGAAAGGCAGCAATTAAGGTCAACTAGCAACTGGCCGCTACATAGCTTCTTTGCAATATTTCTAAAGCTGACCTTTATACGATGTTTCTGAAAATTGAAAATGTATATTTTAGATAGTTATTGTACCCTTTCCTCATCCGTGCTATCTATTGGATAACTGGGCAGTGCCTACTCTATGAACTACAATCGTTAAACCAGTCCTGGCATGTAAAATAGCGATGCATGCTTTCCAGGAACCATCCTGCTGGAGTAATTTATTTCAAAGCCTCCTTTAAGTGTCTGAACTAAGCACTGAAAGCGCAGCTGCAACGACTTTGCGATTAAATTCGGTACATAAAGGTTAGAGGTGCACAACCTAATTAGCCTCCGTGCGCTGCTAAGATATGTCAAAAATGGCAAGTTGATGCGCTGCCTCAAACCCCAGTCACCTTACTTCCTGTGTTCAGGTGAGCGCAAAGCAGGAACCTCAGGGTGTTTCATGGTAAAAGCCATTGTGGTTTCGGTTTTGTTATCATCCGTTAGATGCTCATCGTTTTGAAAGAGGACTGTGTGCTGGAATTTGGGAGTGCAATTGGAACCGGGCGAGTTGTATTTGCAACATTCCGGGCATTTGGCAATCGCTCATAGCCAACGATTGTCATTCGACAAGCTTACGGTTAACAGCATTAGGTCAGGATAAAACTGACCAACAGGTTGGTGTGAGCTTTTCTGCATGGGGCCAAAAAACATTGCCTGCTAGGACATGCTACATGAGACAACAGTGCTTCACATACACACGTTAGGTTGTTATATATTGCGAACTTTGATTATACAACCAGCTTTGGTTGACAAACTTAACTATAAAACGAATTGACCTATAGAAACTAGGTTATTCTATGACGTTTCTTACGTATGTAAAGAAGACCGTACGTTCCTCCGTGCAAAGGTCGTTTACTGCCGTTTTTCATTGTGCGGTGTACCTCCTGGTCTCATTTAACACGCTTGTAGCCTAGTTAACAGGTCGAATATCGCTCACCAGTGCATACACCGACGTAGTAGCTTGTGTGCCATTATAACCTTATTTTGCGTCGAGGTCAGCCAGGTTAGACGTCGAAAATTGCAGCTCGAATGCACATAATATAAAAAGAGAAATAAAGAAATAAATAGGGATATTTCTAGCCCGGCTAGAGGCTGCACCCTTAAGGGTTCAGATCAATCTTTACATTAATTCTATGCTCTTGTGTGGAAGTAGGCAGCATACGAGCATATGTTCCTAGTTGGCAATTACAAATGCATTGGCATTGTTTAGTATACAGCTGATGGGGTCACAGGCGCCCAACTTAAAATTTTCTTGTTCCTTTTGTCGATATTGTGCTCCTTGTTTTTTGTTGTGAAAACTGCGCTGAGCTGTAGTTGTGCCGTTTTTCTTTGGAACAGGATCCAGTGCAACATAAGTACAGTTTAAATACATTAGACTTTTTTGGGCCGCTCACTAGCCACAATTGTTTGTGCGCCCACGGAAGAAATGAAAGTGGCGGAATTATAAAGGATCCCAAAAAGTTAAACATAATTTCGAGAAATGCAGATGAAAATACAGGGAATTTGTTAAGCGAGATATTAAGGCAGCGTGTTTTACAAGAAAAATACAAATTAACAAAAACATATAGCCAAACTTTTCTTGCGCTGATATTGCTTTCCGGCGCAAACTTTCGATCTGATTAAATCTCAGAAAAAACTTTTTATGTCTAGTATATTGCGTACAGTCGCACAAAAATACGCTGCTCAGGACAAGTTTTATTCGATGATTACGCTGAAAACAAAAACCCTGCAATATGTGCAGTAGTTTGCTAGTTATTTGCAATTGAATGGTGGTCTACGAATAAGGCCATCATTCTATTCCGTTAAAAATGGCTCTATAATTTGCAAGCAGATAGAAGATAAAAGAAACGAAAATGTAAAGATTAGCGAAGTGGTATATGTTCTAAATAGGCCTAGCTATCCAGAAGTGCTCTAACCAGCCCGTAATACCCTGCAATAACTAATGCCTTCGTATGTGGCTGAAAAATACATTTTGCAGGCATACATGGCAAGGATATGCAAATATGCGATTATTTTGCGCGAAAACGCTAGAAATCCAGTAAGGAATATTATGTATGCATGGGAATTCAGGAGTTCTTATAATTAACCCAAGGTTAAAAGACCTCAGCGTACCATTTTTAGGGAATACTGAGCCACATAAACAATTAGGAATATGTAGTTTAGTAGCTTTTAAGCCTCTAGGTTGTTCTGAAGTTTATAGCAAGGCCGCATGAGCCAGGTCTACCTGAGTAACACAGTAGACCTTTCGGATAAGTTGACACATTTTGGCCTGGAAAATACACACAATTCTTTGCTAAACGTCGCAAGTTTTATCATAGGGCAGATTTGCTACATTCGATAGGCTATATCTTCAACGTCTGTTAGCTACAGGAGCATGTACTTAATAGTAAGGAACGCGAATGGGAAAATTCAGTAAAATTTGGCAAATTGCTTTTGAGCTTGGGATCCATTTTGACCTGCATTGATGGGGCATTACCAACTCTACTTCTTGGGATGGAGCTTGCTCGAACATGAGCAATTGTTATGCCTTATGTGTTGAGGTACACTATTGCGCAGCTCTTCGCTTAACTTTGCGCTATTTCTCTCCACTTTTAAGTTCCGGAGCAAGTGCCAGCGATGTTTATCCGGGTGGCAAGGAAAACTAGTACTCTACTGTCACACCGGCTATTTCTATTGTGGTTTCCCGGGCAATAGCTGTTCTAGCACCCCAAGCAAAGAGTGATAAGGTAAATCAGGAGTAGAATAGTAACAATACCAGTGGGAGCTAGTCGTTTATCCGCCATTACGCATAACGCGGGATCGGCTTTGGAGCCAGCCAAAAGATAAATAACCCACGGGCGGCCGAGATAAGCAAAGTAGTGATGGAAAGTTTCTGGTGGTCCAGCCAGCCAGGGTGACGGAGGCCTCTCTGTCGCTGGTTAGGTTTCGTGAGTAAACGGTAGCACCGTAGAGCGTCCTAACACATGGAACTCAATAATGCTTCAAGTCTGGAAAACCCTAACAAAAATACAACTTTCTTGAGGCACTGTCCCTGCGGGTTCCAGCGCATTTCACGTTTAAAAGCATTTCGCCATTTTCTTTGGCTGCTCACTTCTTTATTATTGACGATATACGTAAGTAAGTAAGTAAATAAGTAAACTTTTATTCTCGACAAGGCGAGGCACACCTGTACAGGCATGATCATGCTTAGCTAACATAGTGTGATCAAATTGTACAAAAAGTACATGTTGGCACAACAGTGTATGTAAATGTATGTGTGTATATACGTATGTAATTTTGTATGAATGTAGCTTGTGTCTTTGAATATGCCGGAGCATTTTTGACTGTCTGTTGTCCTCAGGAATGTGGGCATAAGCGATTGATGTCTGCGAGTTGGATAGCACTTTCCGGATATCCAGCGTGTATGGGTGTATATACGTATGTAATTTTGTATGAATGTAGCTTGTGTCTTTGAATATGCCGGAGCATTTTTGACTGTCTGTTATCCTCAAGAATGTGGGCATAAGCGATTGATGTCTGCGAGTTGGATAGCACTTTCCGGATATCCAGCGTGTATGGGTGTATATACGTATGTAATTTTGTATGAATGTAGCTTGTGTCTTTGAATATACCGGAGCATTTTTGACTGTTTGTTATCCTCCGGAATATGAGCAAAAGCGATTGATGTCTGTGGGTTAGATAGCACTTCCGGATAGCTACGGGCCAGTGACTTTATTTTGTGGCGAGTCACATCCGCCACGTCGCAGTGTTGTTAAACAGACATTTGCGGCTTTTTATAGGGAGAACGCTTGCCAGGCGAGAACCCACCACGTCCTGGAACACTGCCGCCGAACTATTTGCTGGAACCGGTTAAACCCGAACCACCCAGCTGGCACCACGAGGAGGTTGTTCGGCTAGCATAAAAGGAGCTAAAGTTGATATATCAGGCGGAATTTGTCTAGTAAATTGCTTGGGTTTACAGATTCATTCGAGTCAAATGGACTCGGAGCTGTCCTGCATATCTATGTAGACCACAATCATGTAGTCCCAAGACAACATGCAAAATTGCTTTAAGTTAAATAATTTTTGAAAGTTTACCTATACTGTAGTTTCTTGGACCAAATGGCATCTGAAAAAGCTACACTGGGGTCTTTTGACCATGGCCTACTTACAAAGCGTCACGTAATTTCCCGCAAACAAAAGATTCTATAGTGGATTTTGAGCGTTACCGTGAATAAGTTTCACATATTCGTCCGTTTTATTACCTGGGCTTGTAAACTTTGTTTTGCGGCCACTGTGTCGTACATCATATGTTCTGCTACTTTGGAGCTATATTGTACCTTTCTAGATACGCAGCCCAATTAAGATTCTGTAGCACTGAG